CTTGCATGAATGGTTTCTCTGTGGCTGCCCCACAGAGATGAACAGAGAAATGGGGCCTCATTTGGGAAGCTCAGAAACACTTAATTCTGCCTTATTAATAAGCCTCGCCGCTACAAGGTAAAAGAAGCAAGTATATGCTATATAAACATAAATGCTACTGTATGTTCCCCTACCCTTTCTCTATCCTTAGACTTCGCTGTTAATTATTGCTCATTGTAATGTCTACAGTCCCTATGCTCTAAAATATACTCGGTTTTATATATTATAGCACATATCATTATCATATAATTATAAGATATCATGTATATTAATAAATCCTTTGAGATTGGTATTACAGCTTTTTTTGGGTGGTCTGTATTTCTGCTTTAGTTCATATGCAGGATATAAAATATATAAACACAGTTTAGAAATATAATATGCATGGTGCAAAAATAATGCTTTTTTAAGACATTTGAGTTCTAACATAATTCCATATATTGTGAACACATGCAAGAGACAGTAGTACTATGTCATAAAAGATGTGGACAACATGCTACTACTAAGTCATACAAATACAGATCCATCCATTCAGAATGTGCGGGGGGATACTGCAATACTTTGCAGTTCAGTGGTTGTGGGGTACCGCAGCTTTTTAGAAATACTCCGTCATGGGACTGCAATACTTTGTAAAACTGCCAGGTGGAGCAGTGAAAACTTAAGGTGGCATGTGGAGCATATGGGCTGTTGCCAGAAAAAGCCAGGTTTCCAACCCTGGTCAGTACTGAGGGACAATCTTTTTCCAATTATAGAATTTAAGTTACATACTGTTTAGACTTTAATTTTAAACTGTGTATTACAGCATGTTAAATATTAAACTAAGTAAAAGTAGGTATATTTTATAAAAGCAAGATTGCTCAGTTGGATATATTAAAAATAATTTATAATTATACTGTAGCTTGTGAACATTGTGTGTTTCTTTCACATTTATATCCACATAGAGAAAATCCAAAGGTAAATTTTGGTAGCGGAAAATAAAAACAGTAGTATAACATAATACATACATTAATAATATTATCATGGAATCGTTTAACTATGCAGCTTAAATATGACAAGTGGATGTTTTAGAAACATTTTGACAGTTTTTTTCTTTAAAAAAAAACTTTTAATGTCCTTATAGTGGTAATGGGCAATGGAACGCTCATTGGCTGTAATATAGTGCACTGCACCCAGTTGGTTCAAAGCCCGATCAGAGCATCACTTATGGTTTGTTTCTTACATAGATGAATATATAAAAACTATTATAGCTTGTTGTGAACACTATGTGCTCTTTCAGGTTTACTTCCGAATTGAGAAAATCTATATTTTGTCTTAATCCAATCAGCCAGCAACTTAACCTTAAATTTAAAACTTTAAACTATATATCAATCCCTCCAGGAATTCACGATATTGTGATTGCAAGAATTAATGCAAGTTCAACCAATCCCTGCATTATTTGAGATAGCTTGCAATTTTGTCCTATTCCCACAATATTTCCACAGAAAACTCAAAAAAATATAATATCATCCAATCCAGAGCCATTTTTATGAACCCCAGCCTGGCCCAATCAAATTGATTAACACACTCTTCACATGTTCAAATTTCTTGCTATATTTTCACATTTCATGTTCATGTCAGAAATGCTCTCTCATTTACCAACAAAAATAACAGCCAAAAATAATTTGCCAATTCAACACAATTCGCCAATGTTTTGCATGAGAGTGGGGGTAAACTTTTTTGTACTCTGTGCAATATTGTGTTGGAAGTCAAAAGAAAATCGTCAATCGACTGTCACATTTCTACTGCGAAACACAAGAGAAGGATGACTGAAACACCGAACCAGAAACAAACAACCATTACACAGGCTGCTGTGTCGATGTCCATTCCTAGTACCAAAAGAACTAAGGTGAGTGAGAAATACCTTTCATATGAATCATTCATTAAATAAAGTTAGGCAGCAGCTGTGTATATGTGTACATCCATGTATTCAATTGTGTATTAATTGATTAATTAATTAATTTACCTAAATAGGCATATGTGTCATTTATTTTTCACTTAGATTTGTGAAGATTGGGTCTCTACCTGCACAGCTATCAACATTACACACTCAAAAAGCAATAATTCTGTAATGAGGAAATGTTTGAAGGAAAGGGTTGTCAGTGGAGATGCCATACCTGGTGCTCACTAGCTTCAAGAGAAATACTTGAGGGCAGTCTATGAGAAGGAAAAGGAATTGCTGAAGGCACATCTTGGAGGAAAGACCATTACTGTGATATTTGATGAGACTCCAGATGTAGAGAGGAGATGTTTGGTGGACATCCTTTTGATACGACTGAAGAAGGATGAGTCTGGGAGTGTCTTGGCCTACCTTGAAGACACTCTTTTCTTGGAACACTGCAACCATTCCACTGTTTCCATGGCTGTGGTCAAATGTCTTCAGGACTATAGCATTGCCAATGAGGATGTCATTGTGTTTGATACAGATAATGCAGCAAACATGAAGAAAGCCTATACTGCGGCACTGCAGTCCTTATTCCCAAACTCAGTACACATAACATGTATGGCACACATACTGAATCTAATTGGTAGTGCTTTCAGATAAACATTTAATCATTTAAACACATTCATGCTGAGTTTAACTCAAATATTCCACCAAGCCGGCTCACAAAAAAGACGATACCTGCAATTCATGACTGAGAAGATGCCACCTATGGCTCCCAACCCTTGTAGCATCTGCTGGAACTAATGGTTCACTGTAGTACTGTGTAGCGGCGAGGCTTAATAATAAGGCAGAACTAAGTGTTTCTGAGCTTCCCAAATGAGGCCCCATTTCTCTGTTCATCTCTGTGGTGCAGCCAC